CTAGTAACAAAGGGCATCGCTACTAGGAACCAGAACGCTACTAGAGGCTCCTGGCCATACTACTAGTAACAAGAAGCTACTAGTAACAAGTGCATCGCTTCTAGTAACAAGTGCCACGCTATTAGTAACAATAAGAATTTAATTACAATTCTAATTAATAGCTTCTTGTTACTACCAGTAAGGCACTTGTTACTACTAGCGAGGCACTTGTAATTACTAGCAACAGGAATCTACTAGGACCTTTTCGCGCGAGCGCGCGGGGGGGGTAGGAAGCTATTTGGAACAAGTGCATCGCTTCTAGTAACAAGTGCCTTACTAGTAGTAACAAGAAGCTACTAGTAACAAAGGGCATCGCTACTAGGAACAAGAACTCTACTAGTGGCTCCTGGCCTTACTACTAGGAGCAAGGACGCTACTAGTAGCAAACACTCTCGGGTCATCGTGTAGGAGGGCTGTGTGTTGCTAGGTTGATCTAGGTTGTAAGGTCTGGCCATCGTCAGGTGCTGTGTGTATTTTGGGACGTGCCAAAGGGGTCAAGGATTGGGGTCACACAAGTTTCAGTGCTGGGCAACAAGTCAAACTGACTTCTGGCCTTGCGTAGGAACATCGATGGAAAGGAGCAGCAGTTTTGAATCGGGGTCTGGTTTTCAACTAAAATCAACTGCCCACATGATCGCAAGGCGTGTTTGAGCCAATAGAGACATCCGCTTCCCTCTTTAAACCGAAAAATATGAAGAGATCAGACTTTGAGATTTTGATCCGGACGGCACAATCGAGCCAAGGCACCCAGATACCAAAGAGATCGTGCAGTACTACTTCGGCAGCTTGCAAAGGCAAGGATCACACGAAGTCGCGAATTTTTTGGGATTCTTCCTTACCTCGAGATTCAGAAGATGGACCTGCATAAGAAGTGATGTTGTTGAATTATCTTTTTGGTGGAGTGATGCAGATATTATCAATCAAGAGCATGTTCTCTCTGGGCACCTTCACTGGAATGCGTTCATGGCGATGGCACTCTCGGCGCAACGACCCGTTGGGTCGATTTTTCTTCAAGGCCAACCCAAAAGGTTGAAAAAAGAAGCCCCTAGTAGCGTCCTTGTTACTACTAGTAAGGCACTTGTTACTAGTAGCGATGCACTTGTTCCTAGTAGCTTCTTGTTACTAGTAGTATGGCCAGGAGCCCCAAGTAGCGTTCTGGTTCCTAGTAGCGATGGCCTCCAACCTACTGACCTCTGGCCACCTGGAAAACGAAGTGCTAGCTTGGAGAAGACTCCTCGTGAAGGTCACAAGCAAGGATTCCTTGACGGCACCTCTCCAGCCGTTTGGAAATCGTCGTTTGACGTGTTTGTGCTCCTCGGTTCGAGATGACCCACTCACGGACGACAGAGGTTGAAAACCGGCAGGACCTTATTGACGATGGTCTCCTTCGTGAGTTCGGATTCCATCTCTTCCGTGCTCCTCGCAAGCAGATCGGGCCAATTTGGGTCTTGGAAGCAAAGTTTATTGGGAATTTGGTTTAACAAGAGCCAGGATAAAGTCCATACACCGTAGGCTTTGTTTCATATATTCCTGCTACCAATAGATGACGGGGTGAGTGGGTCTGTATTTCGGAGCTATAGCCATTTGGACAATGACTAGAAGGTCTTGGGAAGAAAAATTGGTTGAGGTGCCAGTATGCCCGGATAAAGACCTCAAGCACCCGGGGGATGTGCAAAGGGGTTGATGTTTTTGCCATGTCTCTCTCCCATGATTGAACCTCGCTGAAGCAGAACCACACGGAACCTAAATGTCCATTAAGGCCAGAGGTTGCAAAGATCAGCACCTATAAGTGTGTGTGTGTGCCCTGATTTTATGCTCGATCTAGTGTGCTGCGCGTCACCATCGTCACATAAAGATAACTCTGAGTATTTCTGAGTTTGGCCCTTTTCGGTCTGGAGACTCGACACTGCGACGGGAGAAGGTATATCCCCATTTGCATCGTCCGCCCAGAGTACATTCTATTTTTCATCCTGGTGGTCCTCACGGTCTCAGACGCTTGGACGGACAGCTTGGGCAAACGACTGCATCGTTCTTGTTGGGGGTTTTTCAGCTTCGCTCAAGGGAAGTGGCTCGAATGTGGGCTGGGCTGCTTTGGAGGCTATCACTAGTAGGTCGAAAGCTAAGAAAACAACTTGTTTGTTCGTTTTGGGCTGCTTTGGATGAGTTTCGATTCACCACTCCTGTTTCGATGTACGTACCATGATGGGAGGAAGGTGCTTTTTGAGCTTCAGTAGCTCACTTGAAAGGGGATGTCGACCGGACTGAACGTCCAAGGTCTGAAGGGAAATGGATTCGGGGGGGGGGGTAGGAGCAAGGACGCTATTAGGGGCTCCTGGCCTTACTACTAGGAACAATGGTTGCTATTAGAAACAAGAAATAAATAGAATTAGAATTGAAACAAGAAGCTACTGGGACCTTTTCGATAAGGCTGCACGGAACGAAATGAAGAAGTCCAAACCTGCCGAGGTCTCCTTGATGAACCTCGTTGGGAGCCTCAGAGGTGGGAGGGACTTCGACCAGCTCTGCAATGCGTTCCAGGAAGAGTTTACCTGCCTCCTACGCTTTGCGAAAACTCTTGGAACCTGACTGGAAATCAACTTGCAAAAAGCTCAGAGACTCTGTATAGCAACAGCGCAAGCATGGCCGTCAGTGGAAAGAACGTATGTGTGATCGTTAAACCCTCGTGAATGACGGCAGTGGTGTTGCCCAGGAAAATGAAAGCTGTTACCTCCAAGATTGCTGCATTGGCAAAAGCTTTGGGACTTTAGAACCGACTCAGCAAGTCTTCGAAGATCGCTAAGCTGCTGACTTTGGTGCGGCTACCACTGACCTGTGGGCGGACTGTGTTCGGGGATTTGTCCCGCGGATCTCGACTGATCACTTGCTTCATAAGCCTTCCCATTGGCATTCTCATTCTGGCATGGTCCATTCTCATTAGGTTGGAGGCCATCGCTATTAGGTTGGAGGCTTGGGATTTCTTCGCAAAAGTTCCTTTGAACCAAGGTTGGGTCCCTCAAGCCCCGGTTTTGCACCACCCCTCCAATAACTTTACGTTTTGACCGGCCATTGGAAATTAGAACTAGAAGCAATAAGCTACTAGGAACAAGTGCATCGCTTCTAGTAACAAGTGCCTTACTACTAGAAACAAGAAGCTACTAGCTTATTGTTTCTACTAGCTTCTTGTTACTACTAGTAAGGCACTTGTTACTACTAGCGATGCACTTGTTTCTACTAGGAACAAGAATTAGAATTAGAAATTTGACCGGCCATTGGAAATTTGCAAGCAGCTGCATGCTTTGAGATCGCAATGGCGTTTCAATCGGCAGGACATTCCTCTGAAAGGATTTGCAAAGCCTGAGCGCCTTTGGTGCTCACTTGGATTTGGGATTGAGCTGCACTCGATCACTCCATCGATTCCAGCTATCGATCGCAGGCTGGCTAGTACTGTACGTGCTACGTTCATCCATTCTATATGGGTAGTGACATGCTGGTCAAGTGGATAGTGGATTGCCCGCAGAAGCCCAGCGAACCACAGCTAGTAGAAGCGATGAGAGCTAAGGGTGCTAACGGCAAACCTTGGGGCGCAACGGACGCTTGAAGAGGGTGGTGATTTCAGGAAACAAACTTACAGTGGGTCCAAGCTCAAGATGGAACAAAGCTGACGGGGAAAACCAACCCGTTCAAGAAAGATGGTTCGCCATTGGAAGCGGACTAATCGAGCGAAGGTGAAGCCTCCTTGCATGTGCAATTCTTTCACACTAAGTCTTCAGTGCTAGGCGCACTCTTCTGGCATCAGTTTGGAACCAAACAGAAGCATACATCCTCCAGCAAATGCTCATGACTGAAAGCACACGAGTGTTGGCAAATTTAAGTTCCTCGTTCAACTCGCGCGAGACGAATCCCAAAACACACGGATCACCGCAGCAGCAATTCAAGGGCTACTGCACCAATATCGAGGCAGTGCGCGTCATTGCTGAGGTGACACAGAGCTTTCTGACAAGCCTCGGCTGAAATGCATGCTTCGAGCCATGTCGCACAGCACAACGGCCCCAAGCCAAGCGGCCACTACATGAGGCCTAGATGAGCCGATCGGTCCAGTGCTTGCAAGGATGACACAGACAAAACAAAACAAGCAGAGCATAAGCTGAAGCAGCAGCATGCTTCACAATCGCTACTACTAGTAGGTGGTGGCCATCGCTAGTGGGGCTGGAGGCCATCGCTCTTAGGAGGCCATCGCTACTAGGTTGGAGGCCATCGCCAATACTATCAGGTTGGAGGCCATCGCTATCACCTTTGTTTTGTTCACGAAAAAGAGCTTATCTGCAAGTATGTGTCATCGCTGAGGTGACGGCCGTTTTGGTCGAAGGCGCCTTGGCCAACGCAGCCAATGACAAGGAGCTTTCGCGCCATGATTTGAAGCTGAAGGCACCGCAGGGGTTGGGACAATCGACAAGCCAATTCACGTCTTCAGGAGCAAAAATGACCTTTTTGCAGGGCTACTGGGGAGGCCATCGCTACTAGGGTGGAGGCCATGCTGTTGATTTATTCGGAAAAACTGGCCGTGATTGCTTGGCCATGGGTTCCAAGAAGCTGATCAATAGCTACCAGCGAGGGTGGTTGGAACGGCCCCACTTCGACCACTGGCCCCCCCCACAGAGCAAATGACCCCTTAGTGCGTCCACCGAACTCGGCTCCACTCAGTGCGTCTCCAGGTGAAGAAGTTTGCGCCGAAGATTATGGATGTGGCTTGGTGCAAATGCAAGTTGACGAAAGGAGACGTCTTCCTGATTGGTTGGAGGCCATTGGTAGCAGGTTAGAGGTCATTCTTGGTCATTCTTGTGAGAAGAAACGGTCCAAAACATGGACCACTGCCATCACGTCACACCTGCCACCGCGGCCACCGCGTCTCGAGGTGTTTAGCGACATGGACGTGGACAGCAACGGCGTCATCGATCGCCAAGAGCGACTCGGAGGAGAAACAAGACGCCAAGAACGAGTGTCTGGAAGCGGCTCACTGTGTTCACACTAATGAAAGAGGTCTGCACCTTTTGCATTTACCCTTGACAAACTTTTGGGGAGTGAGAAAGACGCCTTTCAGCTTCAAGACATTTCTGTGGTGAGGATCATGCAGGATTCTGATCCCAAGAAGAGATGTCAATTGCACTATAGCCGGTGTCCAAATCTGCATTTGGAAATTCAAATGCAATCGGGTAAGATTTTGGCTCAGCTGGTGCTTTTCTCTGAACAAGTGACATGGATTTGGATGTTCAAGGAAGATAACGTCACTCCCTGGTGTTGTGATAGAATTGGACCAAAGTCGCTGATCGACCAGAAGTTGTTCCAAGTCGATGCGGACGTTCATCTTGGCCGATCGCAGCCAGCCTTCGTCCTTCGCCAGGTTGGCAAAGCTCAACCTGAGTCAGTTGCCCTTCGAGCTGAACTCCACCCACGTCGCCAACATGGAGGACCAGTTTTTCACGGGTGAGGCACCAGAAAGATGGCCCACACTGCCACTATTGCGTTGCTAGCAACATTGGGGCTGGATTGAAACACTTCAGGCTGTCTCGGAATCGGTTTTGGAAGCTACTTCCCTGAACGAGTCCTTGTCATTAGTTTTGTTGCTATGTTTTTTAAATCTGACATTCAAACGGATGCGATTCGTTTTTCCCTCCACCGTTTTCTCCTACGAAAACTTGAACGTTTTCCTCGCTCACCAAAAATGTGCATCCAGGACCTCTTTGACATGCTCGATGTCGATGGCAAAGGGCATCTATCGTTAGTGGAATTCGCAGATGGCTTGTTGAACCTACTAACGCCCCACGGCTCTGAAATGGTCCAGATTCATTCACCGCATCTCCCTATCTATATCTCTCTCCCTCTCTCTCATTCTCTCTCTCTCTCTCTCTCTCTCTGAAGCCCCCTATTTGGGAGATACTCGATTCATTGCAAATACCTGCCCAAGAATGTTTTCTGGTGGTCTGGTTCAGCAATGATAGTTCAGCAATGAAAAGGGGCTCATCGATTCCAGGGCTTTGCTTGAGCTTTGTGCAAAACAAGTGGGTTGGAGGCCAGCGGCGCTTTGCACGACTGAGGATGGACGTGCCAATACATACGATGAAGACCTTCAAGCTGCTGCCCCTCGAAAAAAGGATAGGGAGTGTCGCATCGACCCAAGTAGCTAGCGCCCTTGCTCCTAGTCGGGATGCCCTTTGTTCCTAGTGGCGTCCTTGTTCTTAGTAGCAGGAGCCCCTAGTAACGTCCTTGTGCCTAGTAGCGATGCCAGGAGCCCCTAGTAACGTCCTTGTGCCTAGTAGGGGAGTGTAGCATCGATCCAAAATCGCCTTTCGCCACACGTGAACGCGCACCTGAGGAACATGCAGGCGGTGACCTTGGACCAGATCAAGTCTCGGATCACCTTGCTGGAAGCCACCTTCCGGACGGCGCCCAAAGATCCTCTGACGAAAGGAAGGATGAATTCCACGGATCAAGAAAAGAGATGCTGAGTTTTGTGATATTTTCTTGCTATTAAGTTGGAGGCCATCGCTGTTTTTGTTATTTGTTGACCTGAACCAAATGGCCGAAGATGTGCTTTGAGTGCTTATCTTCAGTTCGGTCAAATGGGGATGTCCAACATGTCGTCCGGGTGAGATGAGTCAATCAGCATGAAGAGTCATTTGGTTCCTTCTTGCGCTCAGAGTGGTTCTTGGCGATTCGATTGGCTGAGGAAACTTTCTGAGCACCTCGGTTGGCACTGGACCTCGCGTCGAACACATGGCACTGGCACAGCTGTGGTGCCAAAGTGCAGCCTTGAAGAGTTGGTCGATGCTGGAGGAAAGAAACCCAAACACAAGCGATGCCAGGAGCCCCTAGTAGCTTCTTGTTACTAGTGCAAGCCCAACTCCTTTGAGATTTGTTTGTGCAAGAGATGCGCTGACCAACACCTGAACTCTTGCTGTGCGAAGCGGTTCTGGTCCAAGCACAAACTTTCAGATCCCAGCAGTCTACTGTCAAGTGTCAACTCTTTTGGTTCAGATTAGTTGAACGCGCTGGTGTGGATTGGAGCAAACTAAGCACGAAGAATCAGCCCACTCTGTTTTCCAGAGAAAAGAAAATCGTTACGCAAGTGCCAAGATTTCTTGGCAATGCAACAGGAGCACAACACAAACATTGTGGGTGAGGCCTCTCACAGCAAGCTCAGGAGCTAATGATTTCTTCACCACATGGCCAGTCAATGAAGCTGGGATTGCCGTCGCCAAAGACAACGAAGTAATTTTGCATTTAGCTCTATGGAAAGCCCCCGCTCAATTCCTTTCACCTCACCCCATGTTTGCTCATGGTGGAGAGCCCATGAATTGAGAGGAAGATGAGGGTGTAGGGGAGACACCAAGCGAGCCCAAATTTTGAGCCCCTAACACCTTCGTTTCTTCAAGATAAATGCATTCACCGTGTATCTTCTAAGCATCAATGACTGATCCGTGTGCGTGTGTGACTGGTGGCCTTTTTTCGGCCCAAGAGCATCCGAACGAATCTAAACCCGTTGCCTCCTCACTGTCCCGCCAAATGGCGGAAGACTGATCGCGGTTGGAGGGACAGCAAGCTGGAGAAAAGCCACCGATGAAGAATTCTAGGCCTTTGTGCCCATGATTGAAACTTAGAAGCACCTCTTTCTCAAACTTGAGTTGGTCTTAGCATTTGCCATTTCTACACAGCAAGGCCTTTGTGTCAGAGACGTTGATTCTAACCCCAACGTCAAGGGAGTCCGAAGCTCCTTCAACTCACACAGATGGAGGATAAATTGAAGCCTATTTGTCGGGAAACTAAATTGAGTTAGACTCGGGAATATGTCTTTGGGGCTGGCAAGGGTTGATAATCTCAAGATATATATATATATACCTGTGGTGGATTCATGTACAACACTCTGGCAGGAACACTCTTATAGGATAGTGTTGTGGCACATCCTTGTGGGACATTTTCGCGAGACACGTGTAAAACACTTTGGCGTGACAATCTTTATTGGGCAATCTTGCTTGACATTTGTAAGACAGCTGTGAGGATGCTCTTGTCATGGGACACTGTAGGGCCCTTTTTGTGGAACAGTCTTGTAGGGCGCTCTTCTGCAAAACCACCACTTGTTCCGCTCAATTACGAAAGCCAGCCTTCGTAGAAGGCGCCAGCGGAGTTGTGTTTGGCGAACGAAGTGAGTAGTTAGGGGGTCTGGGGGGGTGGCCCGCAAAAGGTACACGTAAACTCGGCACATGCTAGGGGAGGAGGGTGCGTCGAGGGAAGGTATTTTGAGGTTGTGTTGGAGGTGATTTTTGAGGGGTGGTGATGCAAGAAATGCAATTTGCATCATTTGCATCATCTGAATGGAAAGGTGTAGTTGGCACCTTGCCAGCCGGGTATAGAGACCCAGGGTAGCTATAGTGTAGCTGCCAGGTATAGCTTCAAGTTCCCTTTCCGTCAACCGCTCGATAACCTCTACACACGGACAGCAATCCACAGCTTTGAAGCCTCATGCGCGCGATACCTGGGAACAGAATTGTAGCTGCCGTGGGTCCGTATGAATGCTATGTTGCTACACCTCTTACACACCTAAACCAGTTCAAAGCACGAATGAGCCTTCATAGCTGTGGCTTGCTGTGCATGTGTGGCTCGAGAAAGATATACGTAAATCCGGGGGGTGATGCTTTGATGCTTTTGGAGCGGGTGGTGATGCACTCGTTAATTATACCCTTCAATAGGAATTCGAATAGTTGAATGTGGGTGGGTTTATTTCTATGGGAACAAAATGTTTCTGCTTTCGAAATTTAAGGTGGCTTGGGGTTAGGCGCTTGTTGTTTTAAAACCATTGTTTAGGCTAATGAAGAGCAGATTTAAACAAGGATATCTGGATAAGGCCGCTCTTAAAAAGATTGGTTATAACAAGGTCGATGGGGGGGATGTGAGCGAATGTTTATCGAGCTAAACGTAAGTCGTTGTTGGGTTCACGCGCGTATTTTTTATGAAGCTAAGTGTAAGGTGACTTGGGACTTGGGATTATCGTTTAGGCTACTTCAAAGCTGACTTGTGCTTGGCGAACGACGTTAGTAGGTCCCGAGAAAGGTATACGTAAATTGTTGGAGCTATTTTAGTGATTTTGGAACGGTTGGGAATGTAAGAGTGTATTTTTTGCTTTTGTATGGTTATTGTATGTGGGTAGAACGTAAGTTGCTGCGCGAGTTTATTTGATTGTTTCGACGTATAATTATCGAGAAGGGAATGTTGGTTTTCGTTTTGTAACTTCTTAGGTAACGATACGCGGTATTTACGAATTATATAATGTATTTTTAATAGAGGTTGAGTAAAATCCGTATGATACCGATGTATAGAATAAATATAAATGTTTTTTATCTTATATTAATATTGCAAAGAAGGTTATAATGTTTATTAATGTTTGTTGTGCTATATAATGGCTTATTTGAAGTAGTTTTTAGAAGTTTTTTTTCGAAATATATTTGGATTGTAAATTGTTCCGTGGGTCCGAAAATATTTTGTTGTAATTTTTTTCGTATAAACCTTCGTGTTTTTTTTCGAATAAAATAATTGCTTTATATAATAATATTGTATAAACGTTCGAAATATTTTAATTTTTATAAATATAATAAATCGGTTTTTTTTTTTTTTTTTGACTTTAAAATCCGAAAGAATATTATGGTATTTTATTTATATTATTATGAAGAAATGATTTTTCCGGATATATTAGTTTAAGCCTTTTGTATTATTTATGGAGGTTTAAATTAAAGATGATTTAAGGCAAAAAGTTAGGAATATCGCTAATTATATTTATTTTTAGAATTTAATATTATACGATTTATTTGACGTTATTATTTATTTTTAATAAATTCCGTGGAAATCTTATATTTATTATTGCATAAAAGCCATTTATAAATCCGGCTTTCTTTTAGTAGGAATTTGATTAGGCATTAAAAGCCCGTTTAGGAAAAGTCGATATAATTAATAAGATTTTATATTTAGATTAATGTTTTTGAAAATAATATATATATATAATGATTGTTTTCTCTTCTTTGTATTTATTCGAATTATTTTTAGCTTATTTTTTAGCTATGTTACGGTTATAATTGTCGAATTAATGTCTTGAGTTATTGATGGTATAGACGTGTATGTCGTTTTTAAATAACTTATTTCTTAGGTTATTATAATAATGGATTTTTATGATAATTATAACTTGAAAAAAATTTATAATTTCTTTATAAAATTGATTATTTAGCGATATATGGTAGATATGATGGAATATATAGTCCGTTAGTAGCTACGAAAATGCATTTAGCTTTCTCTTTTATTATTTCTCTATCTCGTGAAGTAATGGTTTTAAAAAAAACAGGGCGGTTACAACTCCGTTATACTTACGGACGTGAACAAAGCCCTCTTTCCCACGATTACCTTGGTCTTATAGTTCCCCATTTGATGGAAGGTCCCATTTAGGAGGAAGTGTGCTTAAACTTCTTTATAGGCTTGGTAATGCTATACCCGAGCTCCCAAAACCATTACTTCTTCTAAACGTATTAGATACTCCGGAAACTATTATACTCCTTGGCGTACCTTAAGTGTTTTTTGTCTGGAGGATTTCCACTTGCAGGTGTAGCGAGCTTTGAGTGGTTGGTCTCGTCATTGCAAGGCTCTATTCAAACCTCTTAATGGTGGATGTGGTTGTCGATCTAAAGGATTTAGTCAGTTGTATGTATGACGATGGTGTATGACGATGATCCGGAATACATTAAAATTTTATTTGGCGATTTTTTTTTCTCGAGGTGGCGAAAGCCATTTGTTTTGGCGAAAGATCTTTGGCGAAAGAATGAATCTGTTTTTTTTGTGTGCAAGTTTATTTGTTTTCTAAACAGCTGGTGACAGTGATCTAAGCTAGATGAGCTTGTGGAAGTCAAATAACCTATTGCTGTTGCGGCTGCCACTTTAACAACTAGGACTTGCTGAGGCCGGGAGTTCAAGGCTCGTGAGATCTTGGCTTCAGACTGGAGCTTGCAGTAGGTGGCTTCTGCACGAAGTCGAGCTTGAAGGTTGTGTGACATCTCAGAAACTCGATCTCCTTGGGCGGTTTGAATGACCAGATTGTTACGCTCCTCCAAGTCACGTCCCAGGGCCCATTGGGCAGGACTGTAGCCACCAATGCGGGCGACGCGGTTGTGAGCAGCACACATCTGCCAAATCGCTTGCTCAGGATTTGTGTTCTCCACTTCTTGCGGAGGTGGTGACTCATCTTTTTCTTCAACTCTCCAATCATCCTCTCAACATCGCCAGTGCTCTCGTGGTGCTCGGCCGGAACGAAGCTCAGCTCAATGCCACGAGAATGGCAAAAATCCTCCACCATTTTACCTCGAAACGATCCTTCTAAGTCGCAGCGGATCCGCTCAAGCAGGCCAAAGTATTGGCCCCAGCAGCGCTGCAAGGTGTCAATCACCTGGACGGAGGTGATGTTGACAGGTGGTATATCCCCAGGTGAACCACTGAAAAACCAGAGGCTTCATCCAGCATGAGGAGGAAGTGGTAGGTGAAGCCTTCATATTTGAAGTGGAAGGTATCCATCTGCAAGGTGCCCCAGAGCTGTTCTTCTTTCTCAAGTGAGGCCTTCACGGCCGGAACAGCCATCTGACCTTCATGACATTCGGGACACTTCAGCTCGTTGGCAACTGCTAGGAGGTGTTTGTCAGCTCCTCGTGGCCAGGTTGCGGACCAACGCTCTGTTGTTGGGATGACCGCAAAGTCGATGGAGTTTGAGGGCAGTGGCAATCAGCCAATTCAGCTCTTGCTCTGTCAGGGTCTTCAGATCCTCCTTGTTGAAGCGGACCTCAGTCGTTCCAAAAGCTGCTGCCTCATGAAATCCTCGTTCAAGGTTGGAGCAAACAGCGCGACAAAGC